CTAAGTTATGATGTTACGTTTACAGCCAAACAATAATAAATGCCACTCATGGTATCGTGTAGTATGAGAGGTACTAAGTGGGAGACAGAGAAGGGAAGTGTCTCAGGTAAGGAGTTATTGTAATCTCAAAGAGAATGGGACGTTGAAAGGCAAAACGAGGTTATGAAGATGATGTAAGCGATGACAAATGGGAAGGCACCAGACACTAATATAATCCTGGGTAAGTTGTAAGTGGAGGACACATTTCAGTGTTCCTCGTGAAGCAAAACGTTGAAGGTTTGTGAAAATAAAAATCTCCAGGTATACCTACCTTCCTAAAGACATCCTCAAAATCCAAGACCACAACAGTTGCATGCAGTTATGCGAGAGTTACACTATACGGCTCCAAATGGACCCCGCAGATTGGTTGGCATTGCGAAGGTCAGATGCAGGAAGAAACGCCAGAGACGATTCATCAGGACATTCGCTACCAGCTTCTAGTCGATGCAAAGGAACGCAACAGGGCATCATTCCTGAACCCAATCTATCCTCCTCTTCGGACTGGAACCACTGCACATGTCTGACAGACACCCAGGCGATGACTAGCCAACATGCCGTTGTATAAACGGACTAACGTGTTTTGTAACTCAGGCCAGAGTGCAACACCACCGGGGTCTTACCCGTCTTATGTTCCTTGAGCTCCTATCACAGTTCCTCCCTGTCAATCGGCAGACTCAAGCCCGCACGATCATCTGCATCCAGAATCCGTGGTACCTCGTTGACAAGCCTGTCCGCTGCCTCTGTATCATTGGAGCATGGGTAGGAATAAATAGGAACAAACAGATACAAGCAGAGGCAGCCGCAGCTAGGCATGTCCTCACCTCACCACCGCCAGAGCGGTTCGGTAAGGCATCATTTAGTAATAATGTCTATCTGTGGAACGCGTATTATTGTAGTAGATTTTGTGTGTAATTCGCTACATTATTGGGCTATACGTTAGGTTAATCTTATGGTATGTGTCAGTCTATTTGCAAGGTGCAATATGAGTAAAAGTCGGAAAGGTATTGACCATCCATTTATATGTATAATGTGCCACATGTTTTACACTGTAGTTAGTAATATGGTGGAGGTCATGTCTCGGCGTCTCAAACCTGATAAGTCATGAATCTCTTTGGGTTTTGTAATTGTTCTAATACAGGCAAGTGTTGGTACTTGCTACCAAGCCCTGTTAGGTGATGGCATAATGTATCTTGTATGGTCTAGTATATAAAGTATATCTGTCATGTTCCTGAATCTATGAAAACTTATTGAGTTACATAGGTTTCAGGGCTGATGTATTGTGTTGTGTGTATTGTTTTGTGTGTGTATATTTTGTGTTTATTATTTTGCGTGTGTATTATTTTTTGTATGCATTGTGTGTGTGTGTGTGTATTGCATCTAGCTTCATTGTGAATGAGTTGATGTTAGCCGTGTGACTGATGCTACCCAGTTATTTAGGTTAGCGTACATAACATACATTTTTTTTTTAATGTGGACTTAAGGGCACACAGATGTTATGGACACGTAACATCTCAAGCTATAATCTGAGGACAAGATCATTTATGTACAGTTCAGGACATTTACGTAAGGAAATATTTCACAACGAGTGACTTCAACAGTTTATGTGGCAATGTAATGGAGACTACTTTATATGTCTTGTGTGAAGTTACTGTTCTTTGTCCATATTATGGTGAAGATGTTGCGTGTGTTGGCTTATAAACATTGATAAGTGTACATAACTATATTCACTCAATGTATACAAGTATATTAACTAAGAATATATCAATACTTGAGAGTCCCTGGGTAGATTGCAACTTTGATGTTTATTGAGAGTTAAGGCTAAAAAATATTCATTAATCATTTATATATGTTCCAGTTTTTTTTTGCTTAATGATATAAGACACAGTTGAGTGATAATGGAATGGTCCCGAATCTGCACACAGAAATCACTCCCTACGAAAGTAAAAGACTGGGCAGGCGATGCAAAATGCTCCCAATTAAAAGTAGGGGCGCCATTGGTAAACTAAGAGAAAACACCATGAGTGTCCGGGGCCCAAGACTGTTCAACAGCCTCCCATCAACCACTAGGGGAATTACCAATAAACCCCTGGCTGCCTTCAAGAGAGAGCTGGACAGATACCTAAAGTCAGTGCCGGATCAGCCGGCACTGCGTGCGGCCAGCAGTAACAGCCTAGTTGATCAGGCCCTGATCCACCGGGAGGCCTGGTCATGGACCGGGCCGCGGGGGCGTTGATCCCCGGAATAACCTCCAGGTAGTGTTACAAATAATCCTCATTTAAGAGAGGAACCATGATGACATTTCAGTCTCCTTGACCATTGTCAAATCATTTTTTATAAATTTGATAATGAAACTATCTTTGGGAAAAGTATATTTGTGTAGGATTTTTTTTGTGTGTATGATTAATCGCTTAGTGTAAGTTCTTGATTGTATGTAAACAGACAAAACATATAAAATACTTTAGAGAATTATTCAAGGTGTTTCGGGCGCCCTTAAGGGAGGAACACGGCAACCGACCTGGTAGCACAAGCTATCAGGTCCAACTCACACCCACCCACATCCACTCATGTATTTATCTAACCTATTTTTAAAGCTACACAACGTTGTGGCCTCTATAACTGTACTCGGGAGTTTGTTCCACTCATCCACAACTCTATTACCAAACCAGTACTTTCCTATATCCTTCCTGAATCTGAATTTTTCCAACTTAAAACCATTGCTGCGAGTCCTGTCTAGGCTAGATATTTTCAGCACACTATTTACATCCCCTTTATTTATTCCTGTCTTCCATTTATACACCTCAATCATATCCCCCCTAATTCTACGTCTTTCTAGAGAGTGCAGATTCAGGGCCCTTAGTCTATCCTCATAGGGAAGGTTTCTGATACATGGGATCAACTTTGTCATCCTCCTTTGTACATTTTCCAGAGAATTTATATCCATCCTGTAATACGGTGACCAAAACTGTGCAGCATAATCTAAATGAGGCCTAACCAAGGATGTATAGAGTTGAAGAACAACCTGAGGACTCCTATTATTTATGCTTCTTGATATGAAGCCAAGGATTCTATTAGCTTTATTGCGAACACTTATGCACTGTTGTCTTGGTTTCAGATTACTGCTAACCAGAACTCCTAAATCTTTTTCGCAATCCGTAATATTAAGATCTACATTATTTAGTTTATATGTGGCAATGGTTATTGTCCTGTCCAACATTTAGAACTTTGCATTTGTCTATATTAAACTGCATCTGCCACTTCTCCGACCACTGCATCAGTCTATTCAAATCTTCCTGGAGTGCTCGAACGTCCTCGTCAGAATGAATTCGACGGCCTATTGTGTCATCGGCAAACTTGCGATTCGCTCTTTATGCCCTCATTAGATGAGGGCATAAAGAGCGACATCGGCAAGTTTGCAAGTTTATGTAGATTGTGAACAGCAGGGGGCCCAACACTGACCCCTGTGGAACACCGCTCGTAACGCTTCCCCACTCTGATTTCTCCCCATTTATGCAAACTCTCTGCTGCCTATTTGTCAACCATGCCTCTATCCAGGAAAAAATTTCTCCTCCTATTCCATGTGCTTTAATTTTCCTCAATAGTCTCTGATGTGGGACCCTGTCAAAAGCCTTACTGAAGTCCATATACACAATATCATATTCATTACCATGATCTACCTCCTCAAATACCTTAGTGAAAAAAGTTAATAAATTCGTAAGGCAGGAACGCCCCTTTGTAAAACCATGCTGAGATTCGTTGATTAATTTATGCTTTTCAAGGTGGCTACGAACTGCCTCGGCAATTATTGATTCCATAAATTTTCCCACTATGGAGGTTAGGCTTATTGGTCTATAGTTCGAAGCTAAGGACCTGTCACCTGTTTTGAAAATAGGTATCACATTTGCCATTTTCCACTTATCTGGCACCATGCCAGTTTGTAGTGATATGTTGAAAAGATTACTGTTGGAACGTTTCGTCTGCACATCAGGCTTATTCAGACAAATACAGAGAGTAGTGGGATTCTGGAAGGAATAATTGTGTTGTTATATACAGCCAAGTGTTACATGTGTCTTATTCGTAAATAAACTAGTATTGCGCAGCGTCTGTGGTTGAGTAAGATTATTCTGGTATATTGCATACAATAAGCTTAGAGTTTTACAACTGACATGGTCGCATTTGTGAATCACCTGGAGTTGTACAATAAAGTCAAATGACTTGTACACAGTAGAGATTGAAGAGGTTAACTGCTTCCAGATATGTACAGTGCCCGAGAAATGTCATGAACGACATTTGAGGAACAGTGTTCATGTTATGCGAATTCTTCAGTGGTTGACACGTCGTGTAATGTAATAGCAAGAGCAACATGACCATTATGACCTCCCTGATATGTTTGAGTCAGTGCAGACTTATTATATTATACAGATGGCAGCCTTGTTATCTAGTGTGTTTTATTGTTTATTATGGTGTGTCTATTGTATTTTGCTTCATTATTTCTTAGATTTTAGTTATGCTGTAAGCTCGTGTGGTGGATCCCATACTGCGCTGTGAGATACGCTTTTATTGAAATCTTTTTATATTAAAACATAATGGATATCTTGTACAGGTAGAAGTTTCAAATAAAATATGAAAAAAAAACTTACATTGTAAGATTAAATTTAAGCAATCCTCCTAATGAGGAAAAAAATAAGGAATCCAGTAAGTAATTTCAGTATGAGTTATGTGGTACAGAGATATGTATTTCCAGTGATATAAATTAGTATTGCTTGGTGAGTCACCTATGGTGTACATTCTCCCGCCAAACTTCCTCAACCATTCTGATTGGCTGCAGCTGTGACGTCACTCCAGCCATTGCTACTTGCTAGCGGAGGTAACTCTTCTCTATAATAACACCTCTCAATTATATATTACAAGAAACTTCCAGGATAAATCTATGAGACGTAAGCTGCTTGTTCTGCTGTGTAGGTTTACTCGTAGTTTTTAGAGAAGGATGACCCGAACATATAGAATATTTCCTCCATGTAAAAATCCATTGTGGTCACGTGACCCAGTGTTTCGCGCCATCTTTGCCGCATGTTGGCCTGTCTGGCTCCGGAACTCAGAGGGAGAAGGTCAGTTGGTGTGCAAGTTAAGGCCTCTCCTCGTTATTGATTTACACCCCGCTTAGCTCCAAGTCCATCAGTTCTGTTAACCAGCCTTATCGCGCAGGTATAATGCGCTTTGGTCGCAAATAAGTGGAACTTTGAAAGGAGTGAGACATTCCAAGGCCGGACATTTAAAAGTGCTGGGATTGCAGCGTAGTGAGGAGGGTGTTAGTTGTTGTGTAGGGTGGTTTTGAAGCAGGGGACTATGTAGGGTGACCAGGGTGTGACAACAGTTTGTGATGGCAGGCTAATGGAAGGGTGACAGGGGTAGGAAGGGGTGAAGGCGGCTAAATGTCTTTGTCTTTGAGCTCACGTGGGCCACAGCCGCCATGCGCGCCGCCCGCGCCCTTATTACTGTGGGCGGACCTTCTCCCATAATTATTACTTGTCCATTGCCCTCACCTTTATCCTTAAATTTTCCATCTCTGGGATACCACACGACCCGTCTGTTCAAATCCCCCGTTCACAGCACTTACATATCTCCCCCCAGTTATGCATCCGTCTCCAGCTTTACTTAATTTCCGTGTATATTCCCGTAGGAAATTATTAGTATGCATGTTAGTTTAAGTGAGGAGAGAGAGAAGAGGTGGGTGGGAGGGTGGATGAGGCGGTCCAACTTTAGTATTGAGGTGGCGGCTGCGTAGGCTGTCCCCTGAGCTCGTCTCATCCCACACCCATTGTCAGCCTGGTCTGACTTTATTGCTGAATTCATCTTGGTTAACGTGCTCTTGTGCTTGGGGTACACACAACACGACCTACCTTGTTCCTTGTGGTGAGATGGCATTTGTTTTAAAGTCAACAGAATGGTTAGGATAGTAATAGAAATGTCACTTTGACCTTTTTGGGATATCCTAGTTAATTTAGTGTATGATAATTATGCTCGTGAATGCTCTTATGTTCTTACCTGTGCCTAAAACTAATTTGTATAACATGACTTTATTTGGGTTTGACAAGGACTCATAATATGGGCCAGTAAGCCTCCTGCAGTGTTCTCTTATGTATAGCAGGAGTGTAGTGTCATGCTTAATTTTGTTTGTTGGCATACAGTTGTAGCCTTAAATTTCATGCCGTTAGTAGGCAAACTATGGTAGGGTTTACACAACTGTATAGGAGAAATCCTTGAAGGGTACTGCAGAAGACCTACTTGCCCAAGCTTGCCAGAGTGGAAAGCCTCTTGAAACCCATTAAAGGATCTAAGCACTGCAGCAGGCCTTCTGCACCATTGATGGTGACTAAAATGGGGTCACTAATCTAGGTTCTGCCTAGAATAGGCAAGTACTGTCTGTAGGTGCTGATCGAACCGGGCTGGTATTGCCTCTAGGTAATACAGGCTTGGGCTGGTATTGCCTCTAGGTGCTGACTGGATTGGGCCACCATTACCACAACATAGCCTTTATGTAAAATGGCCTAATTCACAGCTTGTCATAAATAGGTGCTTATCTAAATTTCTAAATATTCAATTTAAATCTTGACAAAATTGCCCTGCAGTATGCCAACTAGCTTATGCTAGTGCCCCACACGGTGGAAGGACAAACGTATAATGTAATCCTTTGACGACAATTTGCCCACAGTGGCCTTCACGAAGTCAAGTGGAATGTTGATGGATTATTATACTACACTTCACTTTCCACTGTCTGTTTTGTTCCATTTCTCTCGTGTTCCACATGAGCTTAATACGTTGTAGTACCGATTTCTGTTAGACTAATTTTCAGCAAAATTGCCATCCAGTGATTTCCTATACCCTTTAATCTAAATTTTTAGTTTGTGGTGTGCAGTCTAAGATATTTTCAGCACTTCATTTGAATGTGACGTAACTTTGTTACGAGGTCACTGATAGGTCAGATACTAACTTTTCTACTAGCAAAGTTTTCCAATGTATAAATTTAAAAGTTGACAAGCCTTAATTTAACCTAAACCATGTTTATACTGGATGACTCCTGGTTATATTTTATAGACCCTGCTATCGGATAAATCATGGAGATTCATAAAGTTGGTGACTTTGCATGTCAGATGAAATCCGACATTGGCAAGTTATCAAAGGAGCTGCTTCAGTGCAATTAAAATCTAAACATCATAATTCAGGTTAATATATGATTTTATATACAAAACTCTTTGCTGGTAGGTAAATACTTCTGAGACTGTACCCTTATTTTTTCAGCTTGTACACTTCACTAATGGCACCCCCCTCCCCTCATTATCTTTCCAGAATGCAAGTTTAGTGCATAAAAGGAAGATTGTTATTGGGGATTAACTTTGCCAAAATTTCACTCTGCATAGGTGCAACAGGTGTATCCTTACACCTGCCACTGTTCAGAAAGAAGGTACCTGGGTGTTAGATGACTGTAGGTTACATCTTGGGGGAGAAGATTAAATGCACTGACTTTACTGGGTTATTCTAGGTAGCTAACCCTCTGGGTTAATTCAACCAAAATATTTGTCATTCTGCTGTATGGAGACTCCATATGTTTTACTGTACTTCAGAAGACCTGGCTGCATACATTATTTTCCAGGCTAGCTTATTCTTGGCTTACATTTATATAAACATCCTCTCCCCTATTTTTACCTTTCATTTACATGTATTTATCCAAAAAATATTTGATGTAAACTTCCTGAGGGCTTGCAAAAGATGTATGATACAGCCAAGCAGTAAGATAAACATTGTAGATTGGGTTTTTCACTTTTGGAGGATGGAGGATTGAATTTCCAGCTACATTACATTGAAAAACACACTTGTGATTTGCATAAATATAATGTATATGGTTTAATGAATTATACAATGGCTAGTCGTAAATTGTAGATTTATGTAGGATAACTAAGTTTCCAGATTTTTGCCGAGACAAATGCTTTTATATTTTGGCATCTGGTTTATTATGCTGTAATCTATCTGTAGTTTACTAATTTTAGTCCAGGCATTGGTATTTCAAATTTTTAAGTACTTCCTGCCCACAGTGTCAAGGGTGAGAGTAAAAGTTGTCAAAGGAATGAAGGATTGAATATTAAGATTGAGATTTTTCTTTTTATTTAGCTTGTCTTGTAAGTTTTACCCAGGATAACCCAAGACTTGTGCTTATTTCCATTGGGGTCCTTTGATTCTCTCCCCAGAATGCAGCTCTGAAGTAACACCAGCCCCTTCTTACTGCTGTGTGAAAACAGGTGTAAGGAAGCATGCCCAAAGTTTCCACTAATCCTGGATTTGATTCAGGACCCTTCATTTATGAGCTAGACATTGGAGGAAGTAGATAATTGGCAGATAGGTGCAAAAAAAAAACAATGTGATGGGGACAAGTGGTGAAAGTTCAGTGGATGTAAAGAGTCGGTAGTGCCAACATTTTGTATGGAGCTAGGGGGCATAGTTATGGAATTGAAATAGTGATAGGACTAAATGAAATATGGTTAACTAAATATTTTAGATTTGCTAATCTGGCATTGGTTCAGTTTAGATTTAATACTAGGTAAGGTGTTAACTATAGATAATAAAAAGTGTAAAATGGAATTATTGCATTAGTATTTAAATCTAGGTTATAAACTATAGTTATTCATTGTGCATAGAAATTTACATTTTTCCCTCCTTTCAGAACTTGACCAGGTTAAAACAATGGCAGATCCGGAGAAGGGAACTGAAACGGAAACAGCTGTAGCACCAACTGCTGAACCAGTCACGCCAGCTGCTCCAGCTACTCCAGCTGACCCAGCTACTCCTGCTGCCCCCACTGCCCCAGCCACTCCAGCTGCCCCAGCCACTCCTGCTGCCCCAGCCACTCCTGCTGCCCCAGCAGCAGAGGAAGATGGGTCTGAGGAAGAGATGGAAGAAGTAGAGGAGGAAGAGGGTGGTGAGCGCAAGGAGCTGGTAGACAAACTAATGAGGGATCCTCAGGTGCTGGCTGCCCTCCAGACCAAACTCCGTCGCTTCCTTGGCACTCCCTCGGGTTACATTAGTGTAAGATGCAGGGGTGGAGATTTGATTTAATCAAAATGATTAAATCATTGTTAATAGTTTTAGCAGGAATGCTATTAGCGTAACTCCATACCCAACTGCATGGGGGTAAAATGCACATAAAGCTTAATTTATAACTGATAGTGAATAAAAAAAAATAATCTAGTTTGACTAATGACCTGTAGATGTAAAAATAGTATTAACACTAGTGTACAAAATTACATCCTAATATGGCATGTACAGCATAGTATTCCAAATTTTAATGTTTCTATTTGGCATTGCTAGATGTTTGGTTGCCTTATTGACTATCTAAATGACAGTATTCTTAACATGCAACCTCATTACATTGTTTAAAATCTTTACATGCATACATAAATTATGCTGATTGAAGTTTTAAGGTTGGCAGTAAATTCATATATATTTTAAACTTGGCCTTTTTCACAGCAACTATTGCTGCTAACCACCCAAATAGATGAAACCTACACTGCCATTTTAATTTCTTAAAATTGGTGCCCCCACATTTTTTCTATCCCTCCCTCAGTCTGTGCATGTTTAAGAACTAAGGTAATTTAGTTAAAACTTAAAGCTGAAATTTTTCAATATTGAAGACATTGTATATAATTTTTAAATAGTAATGCCTAATAAATTTAATTGGTTATACAGGCTTTTTTTTTTTTTCTTTAAATTGTGCTTAGTAAATGTAGTGTAGTAGGTTATCCTATTCCATTCAAGATCAGAATGAGCTAATCCTCATAGTATGGCTTCAGCTGCCACTTGTTTGTATTACTGTATTGGTGTTGCAATGCTGCAGTGGTATGAGAGTAGCATAAAATTTAATTTTAGTTGGTTTAATTTGCCTTAAAATTAAATATATTTTAATTTGCTTGAATTAGTATTTAACATTTGGTAGGCAAATTTTTAGTGGAGTGAATGGTGTTCTAGGATTTAACTTTCTAGTGAAAGCATGTGGGCAATTATAGAATTCAGGAGAAACTGGCTAATAGACTGTAGATGGGTTATGCTGGTGTTGGTCCCTTTTCTTAGGGAGCTTGGGAGAGACGAAGCTTTATTTTTCTAATAGTAAACTAATTTACTGTTTGCCTGCTGAAAAAAATGTTCTAGATTCAACTATTTCATGGTTTGAAGGAAACCAAAATTATTATATTAGCCAGTTAGTTAAATTTTTGGAGTATATATATTGCTTCTATTGTCAGTAGCTATACAGTATTTCAGGTGTTATTTTGACTATTATAAAATATGATAAATTGTAAATTCTTCCATTTCAGTCTTTGCCATTATCTGTGAAGAGACGTATAAAGGCATTGAAAAAGTTACAACTTCAATACACAGATTTAGAGGCAGACTTCTACAAAGAAGTTCATGCTCTAGAGGTGAGTTGTTGGCAATGGTGGGTGGCTTGAATCCTGCATGAGGTATGCTTTAGGAGGTAAGATATGGGAAGGTGGTTAATTGTATACAGCTTCTCCTCGCTTAGTAACGTACTCCTGTACTAATGACTCGGACTTACAGCAGGCTCTGACCAGTATGCGTACCTAAATAATGCATATTAGAGCTGATTTCCTTTATTCTGTTTTGCAATATACAGTACACTGCTGTATAAACATTGAGAAATATACGGTGGACCCCTGGATAGCGTAAATTTATCTGTACCAGAGAGCATCTTATACCGAATCTGACTTGATTAAAATTAATTTTCCCTATAAGAAATAATAGAAATCCAATTAATCCGTTTCAGACACCCAATAGTATTAGATATGTTTTCTACACGAAATGTACATTTACCTATACAGAAAACAGTGATACATGAAAACAATAACAACACACTTACCTTATTGAAGACATGATGTATGGAAGATGGGAAGAGGGGAGAGGATGGAGGAGTTTACAGTTGTTTGGAAGGGGAATCCCACTTCATAAAGATTTCAGGTACCAAGTCCTTATTCCTGGGTTACTTCCCTCCTTTGTTTTTTAATGTCACTAGGACCAACTTGAGAGCCACTGGACCCCAGTTGCTCAGTTTTCCAAAGGTCTGTTTCTGGCATGTTAGGAATGTTGTTGGGAGAGAGAAGCTAGTCCTACAGTATGACACTATCAGCTCTACGGCTTATTTATCTAGCACAATTCATCTAATATGACATAAACAATATTAATAACAGAAACATGACATATACTCTAGAATGAATAAAATAAATTATTAAGTATGTCACGAGTGTTGCTGTGTTGGGTGTATAAGGGCCACTGAAACATAAGCCATACGTGTGGTGGAGGCGGCAGCAGCGGTAGAGACGGCGGTGTTGTCAGTCGCCCTATATAATTCCAACATTGGAGGAGTTAGGTTCGTGCTGTCCTTTTTCTATCGATTAATCGCTTAACTTGCTACAGTTAATGCTACACTTCATCTCTGGCTGCTGCTATAGCCTTTATAGGCTCCTGCTGCTTTAGTATCGTACATATTGCAGAATCGCAGAAAAAGGCACATTGAATTAAAGCATGAAATCGTAGATAAACAAGCGAGGTGGGTTGAGGGGGGGAAGCTCTCGTAACTTGGATGTTGGCTTGTAACTCAGAGCAAAATATCGACAATGATGGCTCATATCTCAAAAAACTTGTATGTTGGGACACTCGTAAGTTGAGGTTCCACTGTATTATGCTTCCTTTCTCTTTTTAATTTTTCACACAAATAGATTTAGTTATGCAGACTACTGAATTATTGTAATTGTATAAATGTCAGCATATTCCTGAATGCATATTAGACTCCAGTTGGATGCGTATTGGACGAGTGACTTAATTTTTGTACTGTGCAGTATCAGCAAAAATCTAATTTCTGCTACTTTGAGCTCAATCAAAGTAGTTTTATTCTTGTAATATATCTTCCATTCTGTCAAATGAAACTGAGAATAAAACCATGTGAAAATACACTATAAAGTCGCTATTTTAAACCAAAAGTAGTCTGGGTTTTCCCGTTATGCACTGCATGGGGAAGGATTTTTTTTTATGCTGTACACTTGCTGCATAGACCCAATCTCATATCTAAGCAAAAAAAAAAAAAAATACCACTTATTTTGAGTGAGCTGAGCTCATCACATAGTTCAGCACTGACCTTGAACTGGTTAAAATCTTGCTTTCATAATTGATTACTGTTTATTCTAATTTTTTCAGTAAACCCTTTACTTTTAGCATTGATATCCCGATATTGGATATAACTGGTTCACTTGCTGTACATGGTAAATTTCAAAAGTTCGATGAGGATGCTCAGTTTCCCAGATTTTTGTGAGCAACCACTTTTTCAGGTTGTTTGAAGTGATTGAGCTTGGTATTATGTGCAGTAATGTTCAGTTCCCCATGCTAGTGAAGGGGATGGGGGGGTTAGCATAGAAACTTCTAAGTGTTTAACATGCATGGAAATTTGTACTTACAGAATTTGGTTAATCTCTTTCGGCTGATTTTTTAGACATTCTATGTTGTAGTTTACACTACTAAATATTCTTGCCTGTTGTGCAGGCAATAGGGGCATTCCATCTCTAGTTCTGTGGCTGTTAAATGGTTCAAATTTATATTTATCTGTTTAGTAGAATTTTAGAAAATTAAATTTTGGCATACACACTTATGCTACCCTAGACTTGGTACCAAAGCTCTTTTTAATTACCCAAAATTTAAAATTAACTTAACCCAAATTACTCTAGTGCCTGCTTTGCTCTCTATCATTTGGGAAAACCAAATTAAAAAATGCCAACTTGGTTTATTAAAAAAAAATTTCAAAATGGTTGGCCTGATCAGAGGGGGCTGCTGGGGCGTTGACCCACGGAACCCTCTCGAGGTATTAAATTAAAACCACTTTACAGTAGAGGCATTTCCTCACTGAAGTTTTAGGACTTCTGTAATAACATGCACAGGCATTAATATAAGTGTAAGACATGTTTACATTAGGTTGCTTGTCTGTTAATGCAAGTCCCTCACATTAGTGAATTGTGCCACACCATGAAACAAAAATTGTGGATTAGGGGTGAAATGTTTTAGATAAAAATGTTTGAACATTTTAGTGCTATGCATGATTTTAGTCACTAGACTACTAGGTTTGGAAGTTCATTTTTTTTCACTTCTAGTTATATTTGCTAATTGGTGCTCCAAAATTGTGTAAGAATTTAAATTTCAGATGCTTTTGTATTTGGATATGATTATAGCTGTGACCAGTTTAAAATGTCATTTTTCAAATTATTACTGCACCATAATTTAATATTTGAATGTGCATGGGTGTAATAAAACTAAAAATGAAAAAAGGTTAAAGGGGGAAGAAGTTCAGTGGGGAGTAAGTAGGGTTTAAATAGGTGTATATGAATGAGCTGAAGAGTGGGTATCAGTAATATTTGTGCCTGTAAAAATAAATTTCTAAAGCAGTAGCAGTGTAAACATGTAACAACTATTACACTGGCAGTCTCCCACCAAGGTAGGGTGACCTGAAAAGCACCACTGTCTTGCCAGAGATGTGCATATACAGTGGACCCTCGTTTTTCGTAATTAATCTGTTTAAATGTGACTAATGGTGAAATTGACAATTAGCAAAACCATTTTCCCCATAAGAAATAATGTAAATCCAGTTAATCCGTTCCAGACACCCAAAAGTATTAAAACAAAACTTTGTGAAATATAGATGTACATAGACAGAAAACAGTGAGACATGAAGAATAAAACACACACCTTCATTGAAGATTCCTCTTAGTGTATGGAAGATGGGAGGGAGGAAAGACAATGGAGGAATTACTGTTTGGAAGGGGAATCCCCTTCCGAGACTTGTTCTCAGGGTCGCCCAAATTTAAAAAAAAAAAAAAAAATTCTTATGAAAAGATAGGGAATCTTTTCTCAATCATAATGACACCAAAAGTATGAAATTTGATGGAAAACTTAGGGAATTATGCTCTCGTGAAGTTAGCGGTCTCGACGATGTTTATGCATCGGCGATTTTTGCCCACTTTGAGTTCTATTTTCGGCCAATTCCAGTGTGCTAGTCAAAAAAATCATAACTGTTTTGCTAGAACTCCATTTTTTCTATCGAATGAGTACAAGAAACCACCCATTTACCGATTTCAACTATCAATAAAGTGGTCAGAATTTAGCAATTTTGCCAATTTCACTCAAACTTCAAAAGATGCCAATTTCCGAATAGGGTCCAGAATAAACAAGACACATTCCTGGCACTAAAATAACAAGTTCTCTGTTAGTCACATCTCTAGGCTCCTCTTATATTTCTTTGGCTTTCCACTTTGAATTTTTATTCTTACAAAAAATAGAAGATTTACTGTTATGCAGACTACTGCATTAGTGTAGAAATGGTATAAATAATATCAGTGCACTTGCGAAAGAATATTAGACTCGCCAGTTGACGTGTAATGAATGCTTGGCATGATTTGTTTACTTTTGAACTTTGGTAAAAATTGAACATTTCTGCTACTTTGAGCTCAATTTCAAAGTACTTTTCATTGTAAAACCAGTCAAAATCATCTCAATTTCTGTAATGTCTTCCATTCTATAAAATGAGACAAGGAAAACTAGAATACACATACAACCATAAATACCATACAAAAATGCAGTGCAAAGTCCCTGTTTTAATCCAAAAACACGGTCAATTTTTTTTTTTCTTATTACGCACTGTGTGCTGCAGGATTTTTTTACACTGCACACACTGACCACATAGACCCGTTCTTTCATATGTAGGCCTACCAGCTTTCTCTCGCTAGATTTGAGGGCGCTAGAATTTAGGCGTACTAGTACATCAAAAACCCTGGGGCGTAAGCCGTACTAGTACGGCCGAAACCCTGAAAGGGTAAATGCCATTAGGACTAGCTTGAGTCACTGCACACCTGTGGCACTACATGTGTCCAGAGAGCTCTGTTTTTGGTGTCTTCTTAAAATTTCCCTAAAATGGGACAAGTCATTGTACATGTTGCCGACACAGCTTGCAACAACTTTGTTAGGGTGATGTTCCTCCACAAATCTTTCCATCCTACTCCACATTGCACAAATCTCTCACTACCACCACCACTTACCTATTTTTCTATAATCTTTTTTCTTTAATTCTCTCTTGTCACCTTTAGCAAAGGGCTGGCAATAGCTTTCTTTGGGCACATGGTGGCTTATTTAGCAGTTGCAAGTACTAAAACAAATGGAATATTACAAAATGTATCGTATGAACGCATGGGATTGTGCTCACTCGCTGATGAAACAATGGCACACTGACAGTGGCTGTGTTGGGGCCGCTCGTACGCGTCTGGGTCAAACAACTATTCGCGAGTCAATATTTTGACTAAAAAAACGTTAAGATTTGCGAAAATTTAGTTTGGATGCTTATGAAAAACAAGGGTCCACTGTTCAGTGG